ATGAATATTTTATATAAGTTAAAGTCGGGATTTTGATATAGTCGGGATTATGGTTGTCGGGATTTTGATATAGTAAGAATTATAGTTGTCGGGATTTCAATACAGTCGAGATTTTAATATAGTCGGGATTATGGTTGTCGGGAATTTGATTGACGGTCTTTCGGTTGTCGGGCTTGCGATATAGACCCAAAAATTAGAATTAGTATGCCAACAAGTCAACTTTAATTAATCAATGAATAAATGCATTTTCTATAAATAAAATTTCATAATATGTAAATTCAATTAATTTAGAAACTCATAAAAATTCACCTCGAAACGATAACAAAAAAAAAATGAAACTATTAAAAACCAAAATAATTTCTATAAACTCTCTCTTTTGTTCCTAAACACACAAAAAATGAATTTTGCTAACTAAATGATAAAATCGTAATATATTTTGTTAATTTATGTAATTTTAATGAAAAATTGTCTTCCAACATCTTAAAAATTGAAAATATTTTCATTTGATAACATAAATTCATAGGTAGATTTCAGGTACAAACTAAATATAAATATATAGATGAAAACTATTTTCAAGATGTTATAGAAGATTTATCAAAATTTGTTGTAAATTCATGTATAGAAATGTGTAAAACGGAGATACAGAACGTCGTACATTGATTTATTGAACTAGTGTAGATATTGGGTAACTTGAAAATGTTTATGATTGCTTCAGTTAATGCGATTAATGTTTAACATCGGATTGTGCAAGTGATGACTTTGATAATTTTAAAATAACATCAATAGTTCCTTCATGTTTCTTTAAAACACTTGCATCAAATAAAACAAATGAATAAATGATGGAATTTCCAAAATGCTTAAATTGGACAATTCAATTAAGTATAATAATTGATAATGAATTTCAACCTTTAAAAAAATGATATTTCTAAGTGAAATTAAACTGATATGTAATTGATTACCTATTTTTATTAATGAAAACTTAAACGTTCTAAAAAACAAAACAAAAAAAAAAGAGAATCGTTTCAAAAAAAAAAAAAAAAAAACTGTTGCTATGAAATTAACAATTGCTGCATGAAAGTTGAAGTTACGAAACAAGTGAATACTTTTATTGATTATAACGTGTGTAGTTTAGAGGAATTATTTGTATTTTATAATTGTTTTTTGTAAATAAAAAATCATAATAAGGATGCGTTTTCTTAATGTAAACAAACTGATATGTAATTATGAAATTAACAATTACTGCACGAACTTTGATGACAATGCAATTGAATAATAATGATTGCAGATGATCATTATTCACATATGTTTGATACAAACTTATTTGTGGTGTACTTTTTTTATTTCTTTTGAATAAAAATCCTGAAATCCTTGCTTATGAAATTCATAATTGTTGTACAAATAATAAATAAACATGATTATTGTTTGTGTAAAATCGTAAGAAATGTGTGTTTTTTTTATATGAAAACTTGTACGAAAGTCGATTGTAATGAATAATAATGATTATTATATGTATAAGTTTGTAAGAAATGTGTTTTTTTTGTTAACTAATCTAAAAAAAGAAGCGTTTTGAGTTATTGTACTAAATCGATTCTAATGGAATTGAATAAGAATGATTGCTATTCCTATAAGATCGTAATGACAACTTAATAGTTGTAAAAACCCTAAAAAAGATGCATTTTCATTTGTTGTACAAAAGTCGATTGTAATGCAATCAAATAGTAACAATTGGTTATGTTTATTATTTGTATATGACAACTTAAGAGTTCTAAAAACCCTAAAAAAAGAAGTGTTTGCTAAGCGTAAATAAACTGATATGTAATTATGAAATTAACAATTACTGCACGAATTGTGATGACAATGCAATTGAATAATAATGATTGCAGATGATCATTATTCACATATGTCTGATACAAAATTATTTTTGGCGTATTTCTTTTGAATAGAAGTTTCTACTTCTGAAAATCCTAAAACAGAAGCGTTTTGCTTATGAAATTCATAATTGTTGTACAAATAATAAATAAACATGATTAAAATCGTGAGAAAAGTGTGTTTTTTATATGAAAACTTGTACGAAAGTACAAATAATAATGATTATTATTTGTATAAGTTTGTAAGAAATGTGTTTTGAGTTAATGTACTAAATCGATTCTAGTGCAATTGAATAAGAATGAGATTCGTATAAGATCGTAATTAAAACTTAATAGTTGTAAAAAACCCTAAAAAAGATACATTTTCATTTGTTGTACAAAAGTCGTTTGTAATGCAATCAAACAATAATAATTGGTTATGTTTATTATTTGTATATGACAACTTAAGAGTTCTAAAAACCCTAAACAAAAAAAAGCGTTTCCTAAGCGTAAATAAACTGATATGTAATTATTAAATTAACAATTACTGCACGAACAATGCAATGAAATTGAATAATAATGATTGCAGATGATCATATATGTTTAATACAAAATTATTTTTGGCGTATTTCTTTTGAATAGAAATTTCAACTTCTGAAAATCCTAAAACAAAAACGTTTTGCTTATGAAATTCATAATTGTTGTACAAATAATAAATAAACATGATCAAAATCGTAAGAAATGTGTGTTTTTTAGATGAAAACTCGATTGTAATGAATAATAATGATTATTATTTGTATAAGTTTGTAATAAATGTGTTTATTTGTTAACAAATCTAAAAAAAGAAGCGTTTTGTGTTATTGTACTAAATCGATTCTAATGGAATTGAATAAGAATGATTGGATTCGTATAAGATCGTAATGAAAACATAATAGTTGTAAAAACCCTAAAAAAGATGCATTTTCATTTGTTGTACAAAAGTCGATTGTAATGCAATTAAATAGTAATAATTGGTTATGTTTATTGTTTGTATATGACAACTTAAGAGTTCTAAAAACCCTAAAAAAAGAAGCGTTTCCTAAGCGTAAATAAACTGATATGTAATTATGAAATTAACAATTACTGCACGAACTTTGATGAAAATGCAATTGAATAATAATGATTACAGATGATCATTATTCACATATGTTTGATACAAAATTATTTTTGGCGTATTTGTTTTAAATAGAAATTTCTACTTCTGAAAATTCTAAAACATAAACGTTTTGTTTATGAAATTCATAATTGTTGTACAAATAATAAATAAACATGATTAAAATCGTAAGAAATGTGTGTTTTTTAGATGAAAACTTGTACGAAAGTCGATTATAATGAATAATAATGTAATAATGGACTTATACAAATAAGTTTGGAAGAAATGTGTTTTTTTGTTAACTAATCTAAAAAAAGAAGCGTTTTGAGTTATTGTACTAAATCGATTCTAGTGCAATTGAATAAGAATGAGATTCGTATAAGATCGTAATGAAAACTTAATAGTTGTAAAAAACCCTAAAAAAAGAAGCATTTTCATTTATTGCACAAAAGTCGATTGTAATGAAATTAAATAGTAATAATTAGTTATGTTTATTGTTTGTATATGACAACTTAAGAGTTCTAAAAACCCTAAACAAAAAAAAGAAGCGTAAATAAACTGATATGTAATTATGAAATTAACAATTACTGCACGAACTTTGATGACAATGAAATTGAATAATAATGATTGCAGATGATCATTATTCACATATGTTTAATACAAAATTATTTTTGGTGTATTTCTTTTGAATAGAAATTTCAACTTCTGAAAATCCTCAAACAGAAGCGTTTTGCTTATGAAATTCATAATTGTTCTACAAATAATAAATAAACATGATTTTTGTTTGTGTAAAATCGTAAGAAATGTGTGTTTTTTATATGAAAACTTGTACGAAAGTACAAATAATAATGATTATTATTTGTATAAGTTTGTAAGAAATGTATTTATTTGTTAACAAATCTAATCTAAAAGTTGAGTTATTGTACTAAATCGATTCTACTGGAATTGAATAAGAATGATTGGATGTTTGCTATTCGTATAAGATCGTAATGAAAACTCAATAGTTGTAAAAACCCTAAAAAAGATACATTTTCATTTGTTGTATGAAAGTCGATTGTAATGCAATCAAATACTAATATATTTGTATATGACAACTTAAGAGTTCTAAAAACCCTAAACAAAAAAAAAAGAAGCGTTTCCTAAGCGTAAATAAACTGATATGTAATCGTTGTTATCAAATTAACAGGATTCAAGGATCGAGAGCTGCTGGCAAGGTTATATCAATTAAACGCACTTTGCACATATACACACGTTTTCTGTCTCTATACAAGTGGATGTATGATGTTGAGGTGTGGGTGGAGAGATGCATTTCGCTGTCTTACTTTGCCACTCCGAAACGGTCGGAAGGATGATCGCCGTCGTCGTCGTGTCTTTCGACTGGTATGGCACATGTCCGCGGCCGCTGGTACACAAGGTTGTCATAGCTACTGCTGCTACACTATGTGTATATACTACTGGTGCAGCGCGCATTCCTGCGTGGACGTACACGCGAAGTGACGAGTCTCGCATCTACCCCGCACTGACGACGCTTCCCGTCCGCGACGTACGTCCAGACGCGTATCGGACGGAGATCAGCGTCACCGTTACCATGGTAACCGTGTTGGTGACTGACGTAACGCGCGGAGCTTCGAAAGGAAACGAAGAAAGAAACTGCACCGTAACAAATTCGGTTATTGTGATCACCCAAAAAAAATTTGTGTGGAATCAATCAGATCTCTCCATCTGGTGGCGTCCACGCATCGCCATAGATGACACACACACACACACGCTGATCTCAATCAAATTGGTTGCGAAAGCAAAATAAATAAAATTTCATAAAATTAATTGCTAAACGTAATCGGATTCCCGAGAGGCACACGCGTCGCCCGAAGACAACCTCAAATTCTGGGATGTATAAATATAAAATGTATATGCGAGATGTTTAACCTTCAATTATATAATTAACTCGAGCCGAAAAATAATACAATCAGCAACACAACAACAACGACTCGCTTTATTTGGTCGCGTTTTTATCCAAGAAACAAAACAAAAAACGAAAACGAAAAAACCCTTAAACAAAACAATGCAATTGTCGCGAATTTGCGATCGCGTCGACTGTTTGATCAACAACGTTATTTTGTTTCTTTCGATTTGTATGATGAAACGATGGGCAGACGCGAAATAGGTCAAACGATGGGTCCCAATTGCAGGTGTTGTTGTACCATCAATAATCGGAGCACGTGCTAATTTATTATTATTGTATGTGTGTGTACACACACGATGTAGGTCAATTTTCGGCCATTTGTCGTCGATTGAAAATGTGATCCGAGCATTTTCAATTGTACCGATTAATTAACCAAGTAACAGCGAGGACCCGGATCGAGGATCCTGCTGTCCCTGTGCGGGCCGCACGATCCGATCGCAATAGACACAAGCATATTTACCTGTTGTTTATATTTCGCACAACAACAATTGTTGATTACTACCACTCGTAGGTATACACCATTTTCTGCCAACAAACATATGATACACAGATTTGTTTGTACCTCTTCTTCTTCTTCTTCTTCTCACTCTCCACCACACTGCCATAGTGATGTGACAGCTCGTGCGGGTGGCGCGAAACTTGAATCCCACACACGAATGTTACCGAACAACCTCCACCGAACGACCGACACAACCCTCGAACAAAACAAATCCACCACGAAAATGGAAATAAACTTTTCATTTGAACCTTTTTTTTCTTATTACTTCTTTTCAATTTGCAGATCAATTGAATTCTCGGATCGTCAACCAATCTTACATTAGATTACAACAACATTAGAAAAATTAAAAGTGACTTACGCATCTGACAGCTTCAAATTGCCAAAACAAATTTCCATAATTACAACCATTAATTATCAACTAAAAAAAACAACATTAATTTAATTACTACATTCAACACTAAAACAAAATCGTTAAGTTAATTCTTCAATTCAAACCAAAAAAAAAATCATTTACAGTTTACGTAATCAATTTATAATCTTATTGGATTAAAATATTAATAATATTTCTCTTGCCAACAAAATACATAAAAAAATCATTTTATTCAATAAAACCAAACTTAGTAAGTTTTTCATATAATCAAGAACATTTGCAGCTTACGTAATCAAATTATAATCTTATTAGATTAAACTTTAAAGAAATCACAATGCTAATATTGATTTATTTTTCTTTTAAAAAATATGAATATTCGTTAACAATAAAATCCCCAACTTCACACTTTTCATTAACAAAAATGTAACTATTATCAACTTCATTACTAATCTTAACAAAAATATTTATTATTTACATTTTCTATAATTAAAAAAAACTTTAATTACTTTCATTTATTTCAATATTTTCATTTATTTTTAACGAAGTTATATTTAATAATACTAATTTAAAACTAATTAGTATTTAGTATCTATACTTAAGTCTAATCCAAAACAAAAGAAAAAATGACAAATAACTTAATTAAATTTTTTGACAGATTCAATTTTATTAATTATAATTCAAAACTTTTACTAATGTCTTTTTATTCATTTAATTTTATATCTTAATTTATAATAATTTACTAAATTTAATTGTTTGGAATTATTCTCGAATTAATTATTATTTATTTTTTTTATTCTTTCAATTTTTTTCAATAAAATCTATTAAAATTCGACAATTATTGAATGTTTGTGAATATTTTCGCTTCCGTTTCATAAATATATTAACTTGATTATATAAACCAATTTATTAGTTTACTAATTCTTATTTAGATGTTTTCTTTTTCAATTTTAAGTAACTTTGAATAATGTCTTGACATAACAAAAACTATCAATGAAAAATCTAAATTATTTAAGTAAACTTTGTAAAAGTTTATTGCATGTTATAAAAAGCATTTATTAAGTAAATCTGTATTTAAACTTCCGTATTTTTATGATATTTGAGAATGAAACAAAAAGTTTTAAGATCTGATTCGTCCGTAAAGAAAACCTATAAACAAACAAACAGGCGAATCTTGAAAACAAAATGAATATTTAGCTTTTTTCAACCAATCAGAATTTGTATCTTTACGATGTGTGCGAATGATACACAAACTGATTAAAAAAATATAAGATCTGATTCGTTCGTAAAGAAAACGCGTAAAGGAATCAAAGAAATGTCATTGGCGAATTTAAAAAAATAACTTCTTTCAACCAATCAGAATTTGTATTTGTTGATGAAATTCGTGAATGAGACAGCAAGATCTGATTAGTCTAAAGGAATCAAATCAATTTCATTGGCGAATCTTAAAGAAAAATGAATGTTTACCTTTTTTTCAACCAATCACAATTCATAGTTTTTACGATTGAATGTTTACTTTCTTTCAACCAATCAGAATTCGCAGTTTTAACGATATTTGTGAATGAAACAAAAACTGATAAAAAAGTAAGATTTGATTGGTCCGTAAAGATAACTCACAAATTTCATTGGTGAATCTTAAAGAAAATTGAATGTTTACTTTCTTTCGACCAATCAGAATTCGTAGTTTTTAGGTTTGAATTTTCAACCAATCAGAATTCGTAGTTTTAACGATATTTGTGAATGAAACAAAAACTGATGAAAAGTAAAGAAAACGCACAAATTTCATTGGTGAATCTTAAAAAAAATGAATATTTACCTTTTTTCAACCAATCAGAATTTGTATTTTTTACAATATTTGTGAATAAAACAAGAACACATAAAAAAAAGTAAGATTTGATTGGTCCGTAAAGAAAACTCAAATTTCATTGGTGAATCTTCAAAAAAATTGAATGTTTACCTTGTTTTAACCAATCACAATTCGTAGTTTTTACGTTTGAATGTTTACTTTCTTTCAACCAATCAGAATTCGTAGATTTAACGATATTTGTGAATGGAACAAAATCTGATTAAAAAACTAAGATTTGATTGGTCTGTAAAGAAAACTCACAAATTTCATTGGTCAATGTTTACCTCCTTTCAACCAATCAGAATTCGTAGTTTTTACGATATTTGTGAATGAAACAAAAACTGATAAAATAAATTAAGATTTGATTGGTCTGTAAAGAAAACTCACAAATTTCATTGGTCAATGTTTACCTTCTTTCAACCAATCAGAATTCGTAGTTTTTACGATTGAATGTTTACCTTCTGTCAACCAATCAGAATTCGTAGTTTTTACAATATTTGTGAATGAAACAAAAACTGATAAAAAAAAAACTAAGATTTGATTGGTCTGTAAAGAAAACACACAAATTTCATTGGTCAATGTTTACCTCCTTTCAACCAATCAGAATTCGTAGTTTTTACGATTGAATGTTTACCTTCTTTCAACCAATCAGAATGTGTAGTTTTAACGATATTTGTGAATGAAACAAAAGCTGATAAAAAAGGTAAGATTTGATTGGTCCGTAAAGAAATCTCACAAATTTCATTGGTGAACCTTAAAAAAACAATTGAAAATTTACCTTTATCTCAACCAATCGGAATCGCAGCTTTTCACTTGCATTCCGCGGATTGGGTCGCTTGGTAAAAACTCCGGATTCAAAACACAGTACGTATTTTCAACTTTATTAAAGAACGTTTAATTACAATTTGATATCCACTCTCTTCATTTCTCACTAAAAAAAAGAAAAAAAAAACATTACATTACAAGAACGTCGTCCACAAGTTTCGAACAACAACAACAACAAAAAAAAAAACAAAACAATAGTATTATTAAAATATGATCAACAGTCAACAAAATTTGACGATGTGCAAATCACATTTCATTTATTATTTACCTTCAACCGTTTGTTTATTCCACACGCAATCGATCAAAAAAAAAAACTTCGTTCCCTTACGCAAACATATTTTGTTTCATTTTTTTTTTGTCCATCCCGTGAAAAAATAAAAACCTATACAAATATATATAGAAATATATTTATAAAAAAAGAGAAACAATAATAATATCATATAGTAATAGTCATATAAAATACGCACAAAGAGAAACACGAATTATAACATGTAATTATATAGCAAAAAAAGAATTGTACAACTTGTTACAAATCTCTCCTTTTTTTTTGTCTCCTATATAATTCTTTCTGTCTATTTCTCCTCATCTTATTCTCTTTTTTTTTTTATATATATATATTTCTTTTTTTGTTGATAAATATATATATATATACATACATCTTTCATTCTCTGCTTTTGTTTCGTACAGTAATTATAAATATAAGTATTTCTGTAAATATATAAAATTTTGCAATGCGAACGATCATTTTTTGAGACAATTATCACAAACTCGCACTGGCTCGTACCAGCCTCTCAGTGGGACGGGTTTCTTGGTATTTGAGCAATCGTCGCAGACGCCCTTCCCGCAATCCCTGCAATGGTGACGCAACAACAACGTGCAGAACTTTCTGTTGCACACCTCGCACTTGTGGCATTCGTTGTCCGGTGTCCAGTACGTCGGTCTTGCATTTTCTTTAATTATACCTAAACACACACAACAACAATAAAAAATTAATTATAATAGAATATCAAATTGTCAAATATAATTAAGTTATAAAACAAAATTTGTTACAATTTCCTCAAAATATTTGCAATATTTCAATAATTTTTTTCTATAACAAAAAACCTATCTAAATTATATATTATGTAAAAACAATACTGAAATATCAAATTTAAGGACAAAATTAACATTTTTTTAAGTATTAAAACGTTTAATTCTCAATAATAGTAAAATGCATTAACTTTTTTTTCCCTTTTAGTATTTATAACTGTAAATAACTTTACTTTACATAATATACTGCATGTTAGAAATTAAACTGAAGCATTTGTATGTTTAAATTCTCTCCACGAAGCGAATTAGAGATGAAATAAGCTTGAATTTAACGACCGAAAGACGGGAAACCCGTTCATAAAATTTCGATATAAGAAAACTTGCTGAGCTTTTATAGTTTTCTCATATGAATGTATTTTTTATAACTAAGCTTATCATAAATAATCATTATTTTCATAACGATTTAAGAAAATGTTATGTAAAAAAATATAACATAAAGTTGTGTTTCCATTCAATAAAATTAAATTTATACACGACTAATTTCCTCTTAAAAATTTACCTATAAAATTAAGTGAAGAATTAGCATGTAGAATGAAATCTAGAATTAATAGACAATAGTTGAATGAAATCTTTTAACACTTTCACGTTAAATTTACCTATATTTTCACTTACATTCTTCTAATTGCCATTTTTTTGGTCATTTTGTAATGCAAAAGCGACATTGAAAGATAAATGTTAATTTTCATTAAATTTGAGATTAGAAAGTTTATTGAAATACGATTCAAGTTTATCTTAAAATTTGCTACTTTTAGTTTACTATTTGTCAGTGTATTCAAATGTTCCAAAATAAATATACATATGTAATATTTATATTTTAAACTCGCTACATTTGTATATACTTTGACTATACTTAAGTCCTAATGTTTTTGTTCCATAATCAAGTAAGTCTATATTTACTACTTGGTTGCAAATGCATCAAAATGAAGATTTAAAAAAAAATCATTGATAATAAATTGATTAGTTTGTGAATGAAACAAAAACTATAAAAAATGTAAGATTTGATTGGTCCGTACAGAAAATTCATAAATTTCATTGGTGAACCTTAAATGTTGTCATGATTGTGATCATTCGATACTTGGCAAGTAAATTGAGAAATATCACGTATTGATATGAAAGATTAATTGTAGAAATTAGATTGAAAATTTTCTCTTACTTTCTTACTTGACTGTTGTTCAGGTAACATTGTCATTTTTTCACGTGATTGGACCGTAAAGAAAACTCACAAATTTCATTGGTGAACATTAAAAACCAATTGAAAATTTACCATTTGTTAGTGTATTCAAATGTTCCAAAATAAATATACATATGTAATATTTGTATTTTAAACTCACTACATTTGTATATACTTTCAATACACTTAAGTCTTAATGTTTTTGTTCCATAATCAAGTAAGTCTATATTTACTACTTGGTTGCAAATGCATCAAAATGAAGATTTAAAAAAAAATCATTGATCCATAAATTGATTAGTTTGTGAATGAAACAAAAACTATAAAAAAGTAAGATTTGATTGAAGAAAATTCATAAATTTCATTGGTCAATCTTAAAAATCTTTCAACCAATCAGAATTTGTTTATACTTTGAATACACTTAATCTTAATGTTTTTGTTTCATAATCAAGTAAGTCTATATTTACTACTTGGTTACGAAATAAAGATCATTGAAAATAAATTGATTACTTTAGAACTATGGATTTATGCAATTTTTTGTTGCAATAAATAATTTATATTATTGTAACATTACTTGTATAAGTGAATAGCGTTTCACTTTAGTTGTTTCGCATTGTTCTCTATGAAGAGTGTCGATTACACAAGTTTGAAGATTACATTACCTTTTGGTATTTCCAGCACTGACGCAACAGCGGTTATGGAACTGACGACGGCCTCACCGTACTTCCGGACCCGGACATCCGTATCATCCATTGCGCTCGACAGACTCGGCACTTCCTCTTTGTAACAGTTATCGCACACGCGAACGTTGTACGTCCATCCTCTCGAAGGTACAGGTTGCATCCTCGACGAGCATTTATCACAGAAACCTTCGCCGCATTCGCGGCAATGGTGTTTCGTTGAATTAGTCAACAGCGGAATTTCGCACTTGTGGCAATGCTACAATAAAACAATATAAATCAATCAAAAAATCCGGATTAATATGAAGACTCACTGTAATTTCATGATTTGGAACCCAATAGGTTGGTGCGATTTTATCGGTGACCCAATCGGTTATGACCTTGGTGGGTTGCGACGTGACGGAGACGACGGCGTCGGAGATCATGTTGACGCCGTCGAGGACGCGTTGCGCCGAGTTGTGGGAGCCGAGGAAGTTCGGTTCCTGAAAAATGCAATCCTCCTGCATCAATGACGTGACGTGAAATCTATAATTCTATAACCACATTCTCTGGTTACATACCCCTGGCCACACGTGCACCGGTTCCGAGATGACAGCGTGTTCCTCGGGACCCTTGTTTCCGTACCAATGTTGCCGACTTCGGTAGATCTCGCTGCAGTTCTTGCATTCAATAACGGATCCCGACCAGACGTAGTTGATCAGGCTGGTCCAGGTGCTCTCAGACACCGTACGGCATTTGACCACAACGCGATCTCCGTTTGTGTAACATTTCTGAAAACAGAAAACACAAATAAATTACGATAAACATCTTGACATAAATAACCATAATGACTAATTAGGATTAGCTCAATAAATTACCTCAATGTTGTAATACCTTCTACTTATATCAATGCAGCCAGAGAACCACCATAACTACAGAGTTATGAAGAGATCAGAGATCAGAAGTTGATCATCTGTTATACCAGTGTTTCTCAAACTTTTTGGTGCACTTAAATATTTGAATACCCCCGAAGTGCGGGTATGTATGTAGTAAAACATACCCGGATTGATCTGTCATCAAATTTTCTCTCATATCTCATATTAAGAATCACTGCGCTACAGCTAAATCATACATACGGAAGCTAATTACTTACTTTGCACAGGTAGATGCGATTTTGGAATTGACGCTGATACTTGCACATTCCATCGCTGAAGTGCGGCTCTCCTTCGGCCTTGTGACCCATGGAAAGTTTGCATCCTTCGTTGCACGCCTGGCACTTGACTTGGCACGTGAAATACTCCTTCAGATAGAGATGCGGCGGCGTGTTCTTTATTTCATTGCTAAATTTATCATTCAAACCCTGCAGAAAAACAACAAAAAATAAAGAGAACACAATCAAATAAAACTGCAGTGACACAAATAGACTTGAACATCCGTTTAACGTTTACAAAACTTTCTCTGTTACATTCAAATCTTTAAATATTATCATAAACTGATGCATTTTATTGAATTTTTACATATAAACGACTATTTACAAGTTATTAAGTCGAAATAAGTCGCATACAAGTATCGCATCGTCAGCTCAATCATATTTTATTAGGGTCAGAAGTTAAACAAACAATACGATACGAAAATCCATCAATAATTTTTGAGTAAATTTGAATTAGAATTAAATTTTCAATTGAAAAAAAAACTTTGAAAGAAAACTGTACATTATAAGAAACGTTCTCTTCAAAAAGAGATAATTTGCATATATTCAATCATGGCTAAAAATAATTAATTTCACTTGCATGAAAATTAATGAATTTTTCAGTTTTTGCATTAAATGTTGTCATGATTGTGATCATTCGATACTTGACAAGTAAATTGAGAAATATCACGTATTGATATGAAATTGATTAATTGTAGAAATTAGATTGAAAATAGTTAAATTAAAAATTTTCTCTTACTTGACTGTTGTTCAGGTAACATTGTCAGTTTTTCACGTGTTTCTTTTATACCGAAAAACAGGATTAACTTTATTGAAGAACTTTCGGATTATTGTCACTTCCCACTGTATTTTTCAATTGAAAAAAAAAACTTTGAAAGGAAAATGTACATTATAAGAAACGTTCTCTTCAAAAAGAGATAATTTGCATATATTCAATCATGGCTAAAAATAATTAATTTCACTTGCATGAAAATTAATGAATTTTTCAGTTTTTGCATTAAATGTTGTCATGATTGTGATCATTCGATACTTGACAAGTAAATTGAGAAATATCACGTATTGATATGAAATTGATTAATTGTAGAAATTAGATTGAAAATAGTTAAATTAAAAATTTTCTCTTACTTTCTTACTTGACTGTTGTTCAGGTAACATTGTCAGTTTTTCACGTGTTTCTTTATACCGATAAAACAGGATTAACTTTATTGAAGAACTTTCGGATTATTGTCACTTCCCACTGTATTTTTCAATTGAAAAAAAAAACTTTGAAAGGAAAATGTACATTATAAGAAACGTTCTCTTCAAAAAGTATTTTTATACCAACGAGATAATTTGCATATATTCAATCATGGCTAAAAATAATTAATTTCACTTGCATGAAAATTAATGAATTTTTCAGTTTTTGCATTAAATGTTGTCATGATTGTGATCATTCGATACTTGGCAAGTAAATTGAGAAATATCACGTATTGATATGAAATTGATTAATTGTAGAAATTAGATTGAAAATTTTCTCTTACTTTCTTACTTGACTGTTGTTCAGGTAACATTGTCAGTTTTTCACGTGTTTCTTTTATACGGACAAAACAGGATTAACTTTATTGAAGAACTTTCGGATTATTGTCACTTCCCACTGTATTAAACCATAAAAAAAATATGCAATGTCACATTGAAGCGATAAATGTTTGTGCATTGGCGCAATGCATGAAATAAAAAACGCGTGCATTTTTGGTGGAATTAGGGTTGCCTATTTGCATATTTACGTGACAGATGAAAAAAAAAATTACGTAAAATGAAAGTGGTTGAAATGTTAAAATTGTTGTGATTTCTGGGAAACGTAAGATGATTTAATAAGTAATAATAGTTTAAGTGATTCATAAAAATGTAGACGAGTTAACTTATAAATAGATTTTTGTGAAAATACCTTTAAGGTGAGATAGATGATGCTCGGTTTCCTCTTGGAACGAACTGTTGTGTTTTCAAGAACCATGTGAAGAGCGTTCTTCAGTTCGGCGAAAGACGTCTTTTTACCTTTGCTCTGAACGCCGATGTACTTGAATGAGCTGAAGGAATCGCATTCCAACTTGAGTTCAGCGAAGCGACACCTGAGGATGTCTTCGGCGGATTCAGTGACGCTGGCGCAGGATTGCAGAGTGTTCGTGTGGATGGTCTCATGGAATATGATGACGCTCGGACCGACACCGGTGGGTGGTAGCTCCAGCTCGGATTTTTCCCAGGCTTGCTGGATGGCGGCTTGGAAGTGATTCTTGTAAGCCTTCGAAGCTCCGCCGAGGAAAGTGTACATATCTCTTTGAAGACGCTCCGTGCGCGTTCTGTATATAATGACATCAGATACAGCGAGGATCTTCAACAGAAGCCTCGTTCTTTGACTCTCCTTCTTGGTGACACCTAAAAGACCTTCCGTATCCAAAGCGATGATCTTCAAGTTGGGATCGTAGGCGGCCCAGACGCCCATCGTGCACGACGACTGTTCGGCGCTTGTTTGAAACACTTCGCGACCATCGAAGAAGATCTGATTCAAAGTGTAAGACTTTCCTTCGCCCGTGTTTCCGAAGATCGCAACGACTTTCACCTTCTGCGTATCGTCCACGATCTTCAAGCATTTCAAGAATTGCTCAACGCTGCCGACGCGCAACGTTTCGTTCTCGTCGATCAGCAAGAAACTGGGCTTCTTCGATACTTCGACGGCTTCTCCGTGGATGTTCAGGGACTTCAGGTCGGAGGCGTTGGTATCACCGCTCGCGCTCTCCGCAGGGTAATCTATCGAATCCAAGATGATGGGACTTTTGCACTGGTTGGCCACCTTCATGGCGAGCGAGTCCATCTTCCTGTTCATCAGCGAACTATTGATTTTGTTCACTGGAATAATTTAAAAAAAAAACAAACAAAATTAACGCAAAATTTCACCACAAGAAATCCATCCGCCATGTTTGTGTTTCATTGTTTTTACTACTATTTGTTGTTGTTGCGCTCACTCACAGAAAGTATACTTACTCCACAAGTGCTAAAACGCACTTCGTTTACGAAGATCAAATTCTTCCTTCTACAACTCCATCCCTCTCTTCACCACCACCAACAATAACATAAAAAAAAAGCAGCGATTTACAAAAACGCGAATCCTTCCAAACCCACAGCAAAACAAACATTTACCTGATATTAATTTATTATTGCTTCCCGTTGACAGCGGATTTTCACTACTCCCTTATCATTTCCGATAATAACGCAACGCTTTCTAGGTTATGTCGCCGCCCGAGCCCGTGACAGAAAACAACAAACAACCGCCGCCGATCAACGACTGCTGTTGCGGCACTCCTCGATCCACAAAAAAAACGAAAACAAACGCAATTTTTGTAAACAACAACAAGAACGACTACGACGACGTGATTAACGCGAGGACAAAAGAACGGAGCGAAACGCAACTACAAGATCCTCACCGAATATCGATTGATCTCACAAAACTGGGATACGCAATACTTTCTAATTTGATGGAATCTTTTTTGTTGTTGTTTTTGCACACACATGTGCATTGAACGCACGCGAAAACACGACTCCTTTTGACGTTCAAAAGCAAAAGTGATGGTGCATATTGAGCGGTCGTTCAATTTCCAAGGTTACTGCGATTTCATCTTAATCAACGTGCCGGAAGTGGAGACGTGCGTGTGGGAATGCCCTTAACTTTGTTCACACTCTCCTTCGAATCGAAGATGCCAAGAAACTGTTTCGCATTCATTTGTTTCAGTTGATTTGTTTACATCGTCGCCAAGGGGGATCCGTGCAAACTGACGCAAAACGCGTTTCGTCTGTGCGTCAACTTTTATCAACCAATTAACAAGAATTTATCGGAAAGTTATTGGAGAGCAAAAAAAAAAAGAAGCAGCATTTGCGTTTCTAATAACGTTATCATCCGGGATTCCTAACTTCAATAAAAAAAAAAAACAAAAACAAAAAAAAAACAAATACATGACATTTCGCACGTACTTGATTCATTATGAATTTTAAAACAAATACTTACTGAAATAAGTGGTGCTCGGTTGTGTGGGTAACATTTTTTCGGATGATTCATTCACTACTTCACCCCCAAACCTATTATTATTAGTATTATTATATATTTTTCTCTACAGGTATACTGAGTGTAGGATGCAGTTGGAACGAATAGGAGAGGTGAACTGATTCCTCTGCAGTGCGTGCATCAAAACGGAATTGTAATGAGAACTGAGTTTCTTCGGAGAGACGGGTTAAATTACAACTTTACAACAGCTCTTGGTTTTCGGCGATAGATGCGGCAAGTCACATACTCTACGAAGAACTGAGCCGCACTCGTCGCTGCTCTGTGAACGATAAAATGTCTCTCCTTTTTTTTCTGTGCGTTCGTTGTTATCATCATCTCGACGTTATTTTCTTTTCAATTAATTATAGAATTAAAGATATTTTATAATTAACGTCTTTCAGTAAGTAATAATTAAATATACAATTAATATTAATTACACAATTATCTTAAATATACTTAACAAATATTTTTTAACAAATTCATTCAATAAATAATTATAGAAAATACATATTTTTTTTTCCAATATTCTTATAGTGTTCAAGACAAGAACTATCGTTTATTGATCTTAACTACAAATTAACTTAATTACATTAATTTTGATTATCATCATAACCTTTTATTTTCTAATTTTCTCCATTAAAAATTCTCTAACGTTAACGTTTATTTGAATCAAATTTAATTCAACAAATGAAATTTTTATGATAGTCAGAGAATAAAAAAGTGTTTATTTTATTGGTTGAGAATCAAGGGAGCTGTGGATAACAAAAGAAAAATTGTCCAATGAAATGTTTTGTAGTCATCTCGATGCGTTTGTTTTATTTGGCCCTCTAGTTTTTTTTTATGCGCCCTGCTAGTAAATAATCGATTTGTGATTGATACATTTATACATCGTTTTCCGCGGTTCCTACAAAAACCGTCGTAAAATGAATCCATATTTACAGTGAGGGTTTAGTTCTATATAAGTGTAAAATTAGCAATTAATAAGCGTTATTTGACAGCGGCGTTATTGTGAATCGTCGTAAATCGAATCGGCGCAAAACGAAGTTTACCTGTAAAAACAACAAAAAGACGGAATAATTTAACTATTTGTACCTAATTTAAAATATTTACCAATTTGAATGTGTTTGTTAATAATTAAATTTATTATTTATTTAAAAAAAAATAAACAAAAAACGTTTTTGAAACAAAAGATACAATGATCAAACTAGATTTATTACTTGAATCATTTAGTTTTTGTAGATTTTCTATACAAAAAAATAGATTATAGATTTATAAAATATAAAATTAATACTAGATTTATGTTCATGCTAAATATATTCCATTTAAACATTACAAAATTATGGAATTTACTTATTTTTTGATCATTTTCTTTGGAAAATTTATAAATTTTCTTTGAATCTAACACAAACCAAATAATTACTTTATCTAGTAAAATATTAATTAATACATTATTTATTTAATCTATAATTAAGATATTTACTAACTGTTTTAGCAAATACAAATTTTACTACATTTCACTCATATTCATACTATATTTAATGAAATTATTCTTTAAATCGTTAGAATCTTCAAATTGTTATGCTATTATCCAATAATCCCTTTTCATCACCTACATAAACTCATGATTACAATTTCTACGTTCTCAATTCAAAGATTCACACATTTATTTTTTTTACAATTTGAAATTGGAAGAATCTTTAGTAAATGTTAATCAAATTTTCTTTAATTATTATGATAATACAATTGTAGAATCGTTTCAACATTAAATATTTTCACAAATCAAACATAAAGTTACACAATTAATTACAAATTTTAGTCAAAGAAAAAATCACAATTTTCATTACAACGCTTTTTGTGATTCAAATATCTTATTTCTGTCTCAATTTAATACTTGTTGATGTTGAATTTTCTCATTGAAATTTAAGTTTTCTTGAAGCAATTTTGTTGTTTTTATGAATTGTAATTATTATGACAATATTAAAGCAATTTTTTCATCATTATTTATAAATTGTTTCTACTTTTATTTTTATGAAAATTTTGATTTGTTTGGCACAAAACAATTAAGTCTATTATTAGTTTGAGGAAACACTGATTTAGATCTATATTAATAAAATGTACAGTTTTTTTTTCAATAGAAATTTATGTTCATAATCCTACAATTAACTAAAATTTGATCATTTCAGACCCTAATAGATTATGAAGAAAATAAGAAAAAAAAAGTTAAAATTTTATCAATTACAAAAATTCAAGATGTTTGAAAACATAGCCACTTTTCAACCGAAATAATTACGTAAAGATTAAGAGGAAAAAAACACATTTTCTTAGTTGGAAATGCCTTTTAAAGATCTTTAAAAACGTTGCAACTTTTCGTCATAAATCAAATAACGAAAAGATTAAGGAAAAACCTGAATTACAAGACTGAAAATGTTCAAATAATTGCAAGAAATAAACGTTAATAGTTTAGAAATGAAATAAATTGAAAATATTTGAAAACTTTACCACTTTTCGAACTTAAATAGATTATGTAAACATTAAGTAAAAACACAAATTTTCATAGTTGGAAATGTCTTATAAAATAGAAAGAAAAAACGTTATAATGTTTGCAATTAATTAAATTGTAGATCTTTTAAAATGTTTCCACTTTTCGTCCTAAATCAAATAACGTAAAGATTAAGGAAAAACCCGGAATTAGAAGACTGAAAATGTTCAAATAATAGCAAGAAATAACCGTTAATAGTTTAGAAATGAAATAAATTGAAAACTTTACCACTTTTGTTGTGTAAAGGTATTTCCAACCTTACAACATAATAAATTTACTAAAAGTTTATCTATTAACTAAATTTCGACCTTCACAGATTGTTAATAAAGATTACGGAAATAAAAGTAAGGAATTCGAATCGGGGATTTTCGTTAACTGGAAACGCGTTACAACAACAAGAAATAGCGCATAACAAATGCAAGTAAATACATAACAACTTACTTAATTATTGACATTAATAATACTGGATTGGACTCGCATTCAAGTAAACAACTACAAAAACATCCAAATCGTAATTGTAAAAAGTCAATTACTCATCAATTTAATCTATAAAACAATAATTATGAGACAAACTATTTACATTATTGCATCAAAAACAATTTTACAATAATAAACTGTATGACTCAAACAATTATCATTTGTAATTTATTCAAACAAGTTTCTAAACTGTAGAAACTTTGTGTGTATTTAGATATAATTTATTTGTCAAGTTACTTGGCTTTTGACGCGTATTTTGGTAGAGTAATCTATGATGTTCAAGGATTGGTTGATTCGTCCATCCAATAGTCAAATTATTCCGCCTTTCTGTTGTTTTTCTGTGCAAATACAATTGATAAAATCGTATATTTACGAGCGGTGCGTCAAAACAAAAAACTGGGGACCAATAAAAATGCATCTTTTGTTTGCTTCCAAACATCTCATTGGTTATTCATTTTTTTTTCTATCCACAGCTCGCCCGATTCTCAACCAATAAAACAAAATAAACAGTTTTTATTTCGTTGAAAGTCGAAAGAAGTAATTTTTTTCTACATCTACTTTGAACTTCATTGGAGATTTGTTAATAGGGAAATTATAGAGAGGGGAAAAAGGTTTTCATTAAAAGACGTTCAAGATTATATAAAATTAATGTAATTATTAAAGTAACTACAAATGACCAACGTACACGATTCTCCTCGTCTCCACGGCAACTGTACAAAGAATATCCGGCATAACAACAAATAACATTCAGACTTTTCAACAAGCGCGAATCCCCGCCTTCGTCGATCCACGCCTAACAAAAAAAAAAAAAACAAAATCATGTAATAATACAATTAACATAACGTAAATGAAGTTATTTTGTTTTTTTTCTTTTCCTTTCCTTCTCAATCAATCAATTTTTTCTCTCTTTTAATCATCACCCAATAAAATAAAATTCGAAACGAACTTAACTAAAACTATGGAGACTTAAAAAACAACAACAAAAAAATGTTATACATAGAAATTCTAAAAGTAATATAAATAAAACTTAATGCTCTAACAATTACGCAGAGAGAGAGAGAGAATAATAATTACAAAAAAAAATAAACAAAATTTCTCTTTTGTTTCTCGCGTTTCTTTTTTTTTAATTACAAATCGAACAATCGTGGGGGCAGTACAATAAACGACTTTGGTAATGAGTGATGGAGAGAGAAAAAAAAAATGAAATATTATTATTAATAAACGATTCAACGGAGAGTGAAAATAATTAAGGGAAATACAAAGTTTTATCCGTTTAATCGAACAAATTATTATAATAATGTTGCTTTGTACATGTTTCTGGATTATGTTTTTCTTTCTTTTTTGTAATTGTTGTTACGAAATAAATAACATTTCTTCGCTTAAATCATCGATTAAGTTTAAATATATATATATTGTTCGCAAAAATATTGGTTTTTTCTTTTCTTCCATATATAGATTTTTCTCTTTCGTCTTCATCATCATTCTTTCTCACATTGTTTATATAATCTATAAATTTAACAAAACTAGCTCGAATATGTTACAGTATTAAAAAATATACATTGTTCTGAAATGAAGTAATAATAATAATAATTATAGTAATAGTGATAGCATCGATTTCTTCAATTGTTTCAACAAAAACAAAATCCACCAATGCGTTTTAAAGTTCACGAATTTTCTTAAGAAAATTTTATATATATATATATAAGATACGATATTATTGTTGTTTTTTTGTTTATATATATATATTTAGTTACATATGTACAATGAAAATAATAGGTGATAATAGTAATAATAATGTTTAACAATAATATACGTTTTAACAATTTGCGGAAACATTTCCTGAAAAATAACTTAACTTATTAGAAAAAAAGACCTTGGATAAAAAATAGGTTTTTGTGCTCTTGTTATTATTTTTTCTTCTTTCTTTTCATTTATTTATTTATTAGAAAACGTTTCGCGCGCACTTCCGTGGATCGTCAATGATAGGATTTATAATTATTTTTGATTGATTAATATCATCATCATCATCATTAAAAAGAAGGATCCGAAAGAACGATTGCTGTTAGAACAATAAATCACATGTGATCGCAGTCCGAGCTGCTAAGATAATAAAAAATATATGTAAATATATAATATGTATATATATTTATCTTAAGTTGAGGCACTTCTTTTTTCTTTAACTTCTTCTATTCCTTTACTTCTTCGTATCTATTTTTTTTCTTTGATTATACCGAGAGTTTTTGTTGCTTGTTTTGTATATGTATTCAGTACGTATACAGCGTTTGGAATAATCATGAATTCGGTTTGCTCTTGTTGAGTAGAGCTGGACTCGAAGGCCGCAATACCCTTTTAGTAACTGTTTGAGGTATCACTGTCAGACTTTTGGGTATTTTGGGCATGTCGCTTCCACCCGCCGCTCCGAGCTTCGCCTCGACGTGAAGTCCGTTCTCCGACTCCTGATCAGAACCGACTTCGGCTTTGGGTGGACTAGCTTTGGTGATGATGAGACTCTTGCGAGCTGGGGAACTCTTCAGCAGCGAGTTCACGTTACCTGTGGGTCTCTGGTGCTTGCGTTTCTGATGCAAGTCGAATTTGTGCTTGATCGCGCACATCTTCTTGTAGTCCTCGAGCGCTATGTGGTAGGGTTTCCCGCCGGAGATCACCTGCACGAGACCAGGCTTCTTCTCGTACGTTTGCGAGGGATCGATCGGAATCAGATTCGGACGCCAGTCCTTCATAATGGGGAACTTGATCTTCTGGCGGGAGCTGTTCACCGGGATCTTCGTGCCCGGCTGCAGCGATATCAAACCGGGAGGTAGCTTAGGTCGACTCTGCGTTGTGGCCACCACCGATGTCGAGGGTGCAATCGTGAGAGCGCTCTGCGCCGCCGTACTGGGAACCAGGAAGCCGCTGCTTGGAGCGTCCAATTGAATCAGAGGTTGTTTCGCTGGTTGCGATGGTTGATCGGACGTAGGTGGTGGAGGCGGAGGCGGCGTTGGTATCTTCACAGGCGACGTGATCGTCGGTTCGGCAGGTAACGAGTACTTCTTCGTGGGTTTCGAAGTGGGAAGCGGTTGAGGATTGACGGTGCGAATGTTGTCGTAAGCCCTGAGTCTGTTCTGGACGGACTCCGTGTAGTTCACAGAGTGATGACTCGCTGTAGGTGACAGCAGGAGATCGCCGTTGCGGAAGTACTTCTCCAGCAGGATGAGATGCCGCAGGAAACTGCTCTGGTTGCCGTACGGTTTCTGCAATTCCTGCCACAGCATCTTGATGTCCGGATCGTATTGTATGGTGGAAACGCACTTCTCCCATCCTTCGGGAGTCCTCTCCTTCACGTTGTTGAACTCGATGATCGCGTTCAGCTGAAGTTCCTCTTCGCCGGGGAACAACTGGCGAACGGAGATCGACGGGTTCGAGCCGAGCCTCTGCACGGCTATATCACTTTTATTCTTCGACTTTGACTTGTCCATCGCACTCTCCATCGATTTACCACTGATCCGCTTTATCGAGATGCTGCTGTTCGTTTTGGGCACTTCCTTGCGCGTCACCTGCAGATCGTTGCCGCCGCACTCCAACGCGATATTCGGTATAAGCGTATTGTAGTCCACCATGTAATCGTTCGGACTGTCTGGACGGGACTCGCCGGCCATCACCAGCGATCCTGAGGAGGATGATTCCTTTCCAATACCGAGCACCACCTGCGGCTCCAACACCGGAGGCTCCGAGTTGCTGCTGTTATCACTTTTACTCATAATCTTCCGTTTCTTCGCGTCGTTCTTCTCCTTCGTCGGCGCGGGAATCGGCTCCTCCGCCTGCGCATCATCCATTAACTCGATATTATGGAAATGCAGCAACCTGCAAATCACACAGAACACATTACAAAACATTATCAAAATCTACAATCAACGCTCACTAACCTGCGTTTATATTCAGTGTAAAAGTTTTGACTATTCTCCGGTCTTTCGTCCTCCGCTTTCAGGATCAGAGTCGCAAAGTACCGACACAATTTGCAGACGAGTCTGTCGTTGAGATTGACCGGAATTCCGATCTCCGTCAGCGCGCCGTTCACCTCGTTGGCTTCGGCTCCTAAATAATGGATGTGGTTACGTGCGAGACGTCTCTTGCACATCGCGCAATCCATCAGATGGGCAATCGCAGAGTAATGATCCTCGCAAATTGGAATCGAATGCAACCCCAAATTATTCAAATCGATGTCAATCTGCAGAAACGAAACAAAACATTACATGATCAAATCTTTCGACGATTCAAAAACACTCACCACTTGACACACGGACTTCTTCATCTTCATCAACCATTTCCTGCGCAGGATCTTCGTGGAGATCCTTCCGCAACCCAAAACGTGGCAATGATTCTGCTTCGGCCCAGGCGCCACCAAAGGCATCTTCCGTTTAATCGCTTTGTTACCACCGTAGGACGGCATATTCGACTTCCTATCTACATGCCTGTAGCAAGCGTCGCACAGACACGAATCTCTCGTCAAGTGTTTCTCCGCTACGATACAATCAGTTAAGCAACATTAACTTATAAAAGAAAAAACCTTAATATTTACTTGATAATATCTTGTTCTGCCTATCTATGCTCTTCATCTGGGCGATGTGGCACGGAGTATCGAACAGGCCAAACTTTCCGAAACAATACGAACACTCGTCCTTGCACAGCCTGTCGGGATGGATGCTGAACGAACTCGCCTTCTCCGGTATGACCAAACTCTTCGTGGCGTCATCCTCGTTGACCGGATTATCTCCATCCGATGTGTGCTCGCTGCTACCATCTGAAGAACACGTCACAAAATAACGTAAATGTCGCGCAAAACGAATGCAGAGTTTCAATTAATTGTTTGCCTTCAACCAAATCATACAATTCATTTTTTTTTTGGTCATTTCTAGAAAATTATATTCTTCTACCAAGCCATATTATGATTTAATTAAACTAGTTTACTAGGGACTGACGATTATCGATATCTTTTCGATTTGCAATGAATTATCTTTGCTTGTATCATTTGTTAAATTTGTGAGGTAGCTATCTCATCTTTACGTTTATGTTGACTTAATATTGAAGTGCATGAACGTAAAGATGGATTGGGAAAAGGGGGGGAATGTTCTAGATAAAACTATTGGATTAATCCCAAAACCATTATTACCCATGTTAGAGCGATTAATATAGTGTGATTTGCGCTGCGCACCAGCTGTATCCGAAGATTGTCCCCCGTGTTGTGATTTCCAAGAAGTGGAATGTCCCTGCATCAAAAACACAATAATTGAGTAACTAATGGTAAAAGTAAGTTTCGTTATGATTGCACTTACGTCCTTCATAATCTTGTACTCGTCCTCGACGCTTTTAACCAGATCGTCGTCCTTGCCAGCGGATTTTCCCTTCTTCTGGAGCGTCATCTTCAGGGAATTCCGCTTCTTCTTCTCGCACCTATTCAATTTTATCACCGTTTTCAATGTACCCGTGTAGGCGTTTGTCTTAGGAACTACTTTACGGGATTTGTCCTTCTCCGCGGCCGCCTGCGAACTCTGCAGACCGAGAGCCTTCAGTATTTCCGCCTTCTTCAGCAGATTCTCAGGAGTCTCCACGATCTCCGCCTTCACGTCCTCGCTGTTCTCGGTCTCGCTATTCGCAGAACTAATTGTGGCGACGACGACGTTTTCCTCGACTTGCATTTCTTCGTTTTCTTTGGTTTCCTTCTCGTCGAGAACCATATTTTCGTCCTCTTCCTCCACCACCAGCTCCGGCACTTCCTCCAATTCTTGCTCCTCTACCTCGATATCCGTCCTCTTGACTTCGTCATTGACCGGAGATTTGTCCTCTGTGACTACGATCTCCCTTATTTCGATCTCCTTCAATACAATTGCGGAGGACGTCGCCGGAACTGCGACCTCTTCGTCAGCCTCTTTCGCACTAGTCTTCTTGTACGACGAACGCGTTTTCCTTTTATCAGTCTCGTCTTTGTCTTTCACAACGTCATCATTGAAAGTCTGCTTCATTATATCTAAGATTATGTTCTTCTCGGCCACTTTCGCTTCATCCGGAGAAGCCACTTCCGATTTAACACTCGCTTGTTCTTTAGTCACCTCAATGCAGAGATTAGAGTTGGTGTCTATCGTGTTCGCATCACTCGTCTCTTTACTTTTAACACCGGTTTCCGAGGACATGCTTCGCTTCAGGATCTGCGTGTAATTCGGCAGCTCCTTGTTGACGATGTCCGGCGCGTTGTTCTCTATCGTCTCCAGGATCTCCTTCTTGATGAGCATATCCTTGATGTCCAGACTGTCGCGGTTCTCGCAGCCCTGCGTCGAGGCAAGATCCGAGAAACTGCTGTCCGATTCGCATCCAGACAATTGGAAGAAGGACACTTCGCTGCCGCTGTGCTCGGAACCGGTGCTGCGTATCCGTTTCTTCGCACCGCTTCCTTCCAAACCGTCCAACAGTTTCTTCAGTTTCCTCTGCTTTCCGTTCCTGAGCAGTCGAGCTGGTTGCTCGAGACGTGTATTGTACGGACTCGCTCTCTTAGCGTCCAGACTTCTCGTCTTCGCCGGCCTCTTTATTTTCGGACTTACGCTGCGGCGAGGCGCGCCGCCGAACAGCGACGTGTGCGGATTCGATTTACCATCGGGATTTGTGATCTGGATCTTCTCTATGCTGTGTCTCCTCTGCTCGATCGTCTTGCTCTTCACGTTACGCACATTCAGGTCGAGCATATCTATCACGTTGCTGTCCGACATGTCGGTGGGACCTAGTGTGTTTTCGATGTTCTCCTTCTTCACTTTCCTCTCGATTTTCGATTTCCTCAGGTTCGCTTTCTTCGGCGGGGTCTTCGTCAGATCTTCGTCGATCTCCTTTTTGATGTCCTCCTCTTTGATGTAAGTCGCATCATTCACGACGTCCTCGATGCACTCTGACACCGTATCTAAACTGTCCTTCTTCATTGTTTTGCACTGCGCTCTTCTCCTTGTGCTGCCGCTGAATTGTGTAACTATAGACTCAATTGTCTCCGATACTGTTGAAGGTCCTTCGCTCCTCAACACCGGAGCCCTCTTCTTTCCAGATTTATTCACTTGCGTGTAGATCGGCTCCAGAACGGGCGGCTGATCATTACTCTTCGACGTTCCCCGTTTCCTTATGATCTTCGTCTTCGCAACGCCGTTATTCAGCTTCTTCACATTCACGCCTTTACCACCCTTAGCAATAACTGCGAGCTTAGCGAATTTACTGTTCTTCGTCTTAGCTTTCAAGCTGATCTTGAACGTCTTCTTCTTAATCTTTCTAGTGTCTTTACGCTTCAGAGCCGCCTTTTTGTTTACCAGTCTCGGGGTTTGCTGCACTGCCGACGACGAAGACGACGTACCGGGCGTCTCCTCCTTTTCCTGACCCTTCGATAATGGTGAGGACGTTTCTTCTTCGGCTTCTTCCTTCAATTGTATAGGTGAGGCAGATGTTTGCTTTCTGCCTGCGGTTAGTTTCTTTTCACGATTTGCCATGACATTGGTATACAAATTTCAGGACCTGTTACGAAAGAAATAAAATAAATAAATAAAAAATCTCTGATGCGATAAGGAAAATGAAGTATCTCGACGTTCACCCGGCGCGAAATTCACTTATACTTGGGGAAAAAAGCGCACCCCCGGGGAAATTGTTATCTCATCATCGAATTGGCGCTCTTCCAAGTTACACAGTTTCCATTTCAACTTAAGCAAAAACTCAATGTATGTTTCAATTAATATTAATGAATCAGTGATTACGGAGCAGGAATTATGAAGATAATAAAACTATTTCGTCGTCTGCATTAGCATTGACGTGGGTTAAACGTAACGGAACTCGGGAAAGTGTACAAGTTAGTAGCAAAGCAAGCAAGCAAACACTTTGTTGCAGACTCGTAACTGTTTTCCCATGTATACACACACACACACTCACACTATAACCAACACTGAAACCAACTTATTATTTAGAATTAGTTTGCAATTTAAAATTTAATTATGTTTATCATCGATGCATGCAATTTTTAATTTATAATTATCAACTTTCTATGTAATTTTTCATATTATTCATTTCCAAAAGTTACAATAAAAATTCGACATAAAATTAATTGCACCAAAAAAGTCAATTAACTTGTCAAAAATGAGTTATGTCATGTAATTGGTCTTAAGTGTGTCGTAATCATAATTCAATGTATTAATGGATTGCAATACATATCAATGATTGCATTCAGTGCTAATAATTAATTAATGACAATTACCATTATTAATTTGATGTTTAATTAGGGAAAGTGTGTCAATTATAATTAAAACTAATTAATGTCATGTTTTATCATCAAAATGGTCGATATGTGTTAAACGTCATAAAAACAAGATGGCCGATTTGCAACATGTGACAATTGACAAAAGCTTCCGTGATTCATCCACACTCTTAATAAAATGCTTTAACTTTTCAGTTTCCTGAAATACTGAAATTTGATGCGAATTATTTCAGAAACTAAAATATTTCTTAAGTTTGTATTCAGGTTTCCGTTCTATCTGATCATCGATCATATTTAACAATATTTAGATATTTCTAAACGTAAAATTTTCATACATTACATCAATTTTTTCTTTGTTTTTCTATTTCATCAACTGACATTTTTAACCAAAAAAATAATAATGTCAAGATCATTAAGAATGTCAAAAAAAATACATCAGTTACGAAACGAAAACAGGTTAACTTCAGCTAATTAAAAAAAATGTTAAAAACGTAACAGTTTATAACAAAAACTCACTTTAAATCGTTTAAAGGATGATAAATGTTGTCGACGTCTGATCCTTATGTAATTAAAACGATACTATTGAAATGACATTAGTTGACACAAATGACATTTTAATGTCATGTGCAAAATACCAACAGAATCAAAACAAAAATGAAGATAATATTTATTACTCTTCATATTATATAATTAAATCAATTGCATCATTCAACAAAATCTATGCATTAACTAACAAAATTCTACACATAGCTTCACGAAAAACAGTCAGAATTAACTACAAATTGTTGTATGTATTTCATTTCATTTTTTGACATGTTTTTGAATTTAACTATAAGAAACATGTTGATTTATAACAAATTATGTCAGTTTTCATTTATATTTGCATTTGGTTTCAATTACAACAATTGTTCATTGTATATCTTTAGAAAACACAAAATTTTGTTAATTTGCAAATATTTAAGGGGAAAAAATCGCAGTTTATACATTTTATTGTTTGGTTACCAACAAAATTCTAATGTATAAAATAATTTTAGTGATTATCAAAGTGAGCTTTTATAGATTTGCCAGTTAACAAAATGGTCGATTTAGTAGTTGCCAACAAAATCGCAATAAAATATTTTGGTAGTTGTCAATGTATACAATAACTGAAATTACATTTACTTGAAATTAAGCAGTATTTTATCCCTGCTTAGAAAAATAAATGAAAAAAAACATTAGGTTTAACAAATCTCAGTTAATAAATGTAAGTTTCCAACAAAATTGTAATAAAAAAAGCACAATAATCGAAAATATTAAATTGAAGTAAACAATATCAATATCATAAATATATCAGCACAATTTGAGTGCAAATATAAATGAAAAGATAGCAAATTATCACGAAATAATTTTACTCACATTGCGAATTATTGTATATGGAAAATGAGAATCTGTCATCTTGACGTTAACAAAATGGTCGATTTACTAGTTACCAACAAAATCGCAATAAACAAAATAAAAGCACATGTCAACATTATATAAGAATAAAAAATATTTCAATTGGAATAACAAAATGATTATTTTTTAAGCAAATGCCATTTCATTAATAATTTAGCAAAGTTTGAGTGGAAATTCGATTGAATATAAATCGAAAAAATATCAAATCATCGACGTTAAGAAAATGGACGATTTGATAGTTACCAACAAAATTGCAATAAACAAAATAAAAGCACATATATAAACAAATACACATATACAAATATATAAAAGAAGAAAATATGTTTCCATTTAAATAAACAAAATAATTGTTTTTAACAATGATTAAGTAAATATTGTCATTTCATTAATGTTTCAGCAAAATTTCAGTGCAAATTAGACACTTATATTGCAAATAATTTTATAAAATGAAACAAATTCAGTCGTGAAGTACATGTCATCATGACATTAACAAAATGGTTGTTTTTAGCAATTGCATGACATTCATCAACATTTCAGCAAGAAAACGATAATTACAAATATTTCATTAGTAATTTCAGTAAAATTACGAATTAATTTACATCTTTTCATATAATTGAAAACATTAGATTTTAACGAATGTGACAGTTAATAAGATATGTAAGTGTAAACAAAATCGCAATAAAGATAGTAATTTATACAAAATAAACGTAGCTGTCATATTTATGAACAGAAATTACAGTTGAATTGAATTAATGTAAAAAAATGCATGAATAAAAATGAAATTTAAATAATATTTCAGTGCAAAATGTTTTCAATGTAAATTTCAACAAGGAAATGTTAGTTGTTTTGAAATGTACACAATATTTGTGTGTAAAATTATTTAAATGTAATTGAAAGTAATAGAAATGTTTCAGTAGTGATTGCGAATAATGGATGTAGAACGTTAATGGTTTTCAGGAAAAAAAAAGAAAGATAAAGCGCTTTGCATAGGTTCGTCCGTTCGTTGTATAAGATCGAGTTTGTACTTTTAATAATAATAATAATGATATGGTTGGTGTGTGTGTTTGTGTGTATGTGAATGTATGTAAGTATTATAACTTGTAGCCATGTACATAGAAATCGGAAATAAAACTGTAATTGACACCGTGACATTAGATTTTTACGTTAATAAAATTGTAAAAGTTACCAACAAAATCGCAATAAAAATAAACGCATAACTGACATACTTATAATGCAACATTCTATATAATTTACCAAAGAATAGAAGATTTTAGTTTATAATCAATTGAGTAAGAAATCTTCTAAAAAAAAGTATATTTATTATTATAACTAATACAAATAATCAATAATTTTTCAAAGTTTAGGACTTATTTCCTTAAAATATTAAAAATTAAACCTGCTCATTCAAAACGATTAAATTGAAATCAAAATTTGATCATTTCTGTAGTAATTTCAATAATATTACGAATTAATTTACATATTTTCATGTAATTGACACCGTGACATTAGATTTTTACGTTAATAAAATTGTAAAAGTTACCAACAAAATCGCAATAAAAATAAACGCATAGCTGATATATTTATAATGCAACATTCTATATAATTTACCAAAGAATAGAAGATTTTAGTCTATAGTCAATTAATTAAAAAAGTATACTTATTATAATAAATAATAATGGATGTAGAATGTTAATGGTTTTCAGGAAAAAAGAGAAAGATAAAGCGCTTTGCATAGGTTCGTCCGTTCGTTGTATAAGATCGAGTCTGTAGTTTTAATAATAATAATAATGATATGGTTGGTGTGTGTGTTTGTGTGTATGTGAATGTATGTAAGTATTATAACTTGTTGCCATGTACATAGAAATCGGAAATAAAACTCAATAACAACGCCCCCTGCCCGAGTCGGCCGGACGACGGATGGTGGCAGGATGTGGGCCCCACCGGCCCCGCCGCTCCTCGAACGGGGGCTGCGACGGAACCGCCGGAGCACTGGCAACATGCCCGGCCTAGTAATTATACTACTGCTCTCTCTACTGCTTGCTACTATATACTACGAAAATGCTAAATTATGCTCCTCTATGCAGAGAAGAGCAAACGGACGAATGAACGCACGAACGAACCATTGTGACATTAAAACGACGCGACAGAAATTATATATACCATATATACACACACACTATACTGTCCGTCCGTCTATTTCTAGGTTAATACGACGCGAAATTAAAGGATCCGAGAGTCCCTAGGATAATGGCGATGTATATTGTGGCGTCGCGTTGGTGGGATACCAGGGAAAACAAACCCCCCCGAGTCGCGTTGTAGTAAACAAAGCACACGTACGAATGATGGAGATGACGATGATGATGACCTGTTAGGCGATTTCCCCGTCGTCGTACTGTGTGTGATCTTTCAGTGTGCTGCGAGTTTCCCCTTTACATGTATGCGTGTGTGTCTGTATAAGCGTACGAATATAGAGATATGCTACGTTGTTGTTGGAAATTGCTACGAGTCGCAAACGAGATTCGTACTTTTTTTCGGGGGTTGCCGCGTGATCAGCGTGAGGAACGGGCGCGAAGGGCAGTCGGAAAACCCTCGAAAATCGCGAAAACAAGAAAGAGAGGAGAGAACAAAAAAAAAACAACAGAACAGAAACGGGAAGGAGAGAGCGAAAAAA